GGGATTGTTTCACTTCTGTGATCTCTTTCCTGACATCTGTGATCTCCTTCCGGACTTCATCCCACTGCTCTTGCATTTTTCTCTGCATCTCATCCCACTGCTCTTGCATTTTTCTCTGCATCTCATCCCATTGCTCTTGCATTTTTTTCTGCATCTCTGTCAGCATGTTCATGATTTTTATTTTGAATTCTTTTTCAGGAGGACTAGTTAGGTCTGTCTCCTTCTCAGGTGTTGTCTCTGTGATCTTTGTCTGCCTGTAGTTTTGCCTTTTCATGGTGATAGAGATAGTTTGCAGAGCTGGTACAAGTGACCGCTGGAAGAGCTTCCCTTCTTGTTGGTTTGTAGCCTTTTCCTGGGAGAATAGCGACCTCTAGTGGCTTGTGCTGGGCAGCTGTGCGCAGACAGGGCTTCTGCTTCCTGCCCAGTTGCTTTGGGGTTTATCTCCGCTGTTGCTGTGGGCTTGGCCTGGCTGGGGCTGTTCCTCCAAAATGGTGGAGCCCCGTTGGAGGGGGAGCAGCCAGGAGACTATTTATCTCCGTAAGGGGCCTCCGTGCTCCCTGCTGCCCAGGGGTTTAGAGTGCCCAGAGATCCCCAGATTCCCTGCCTCTGGACTAAGTGTCGTGCTCTGCCCCTTTAAGACTTCCAAAGAGCACTCTCCATACCAAAACAACAACAGCAACAATAAAAAAAGTAAATAAATAATTAAAAAGAAAAAGAAAAATGCGCAATTTTCTTTGTCCTCAGGCACCCACTCACCGGTCTTGCTGCTCTTTTTCCCTAGTATTGGGATCCCTGTCCCTTTAAGACTTCCAAAAAGCACTCACCAAGAAAAAGAAAAGAAATGGCCACTCCCGTTTCTTTGTTCTCCAGCATCGGCCTCAGGCACCCACTCACTGGTCCTGCCACCCTGTTTCCCTAGTATCCAGGACCCCATGCATGCACTGTGTTTGCACTCTGGTCTGGATGGCTGGGGCTGGGTGTTCAGCAGTCCTGGGCTCCTTCTTCCTCCCTGCTGACTCCTCTCCTCCTGCCGGGAGCTGGGGGGAGGGGCGCTCGGGTCCCGCCGGGGCCGGGGCTTGTATCTTGCCCCCTTCATGAGGTGCTGGGTTCTCGCAGGTGTGGATGTGGTCTGGATGTTGTCCTGTGTCCTCTGGTCTCTATTTTAGGAAGAGTTGTCCATGTTATATTTTCATAGATAAATGTGGTTTTGGGAGGAGATTTCTGCTGCTCTACTCATGCTGCCATCTTGGCTCCCTAGGGTAGAGTTTTAAAGGAAGAATTTTAGCTTATAACATGCCTTATTTTAGCAAAGGAATTTTTTTTTGGATAATTCAGAAACCTGTGAAATATTCTATTCAATTTCATACCATCTTTTAAAAATAGTGACTTGTAACATTTTTATTATGTTGAAAGTTCAGAAAATACAGGTATGCAGAAGGATGTAAAATTTTTTTTTACAATCTCACCAACTAGAAATGTTTTTACATGTTGATGTTTCTTTTAATTTTTTCATGTGCATATATGGTTTGTCCTATAAAATGGCAGTATATATTACATTTTAACCTGTTTTATTCACTGATTTCAATTATAATGTTATTCCTTTATAATATTTTCAATGGTTATTTATATTTTATTGTATGAATCCACAATAATAATAAAAATAACATTTGTTGACCAATTGTTGTGTGCCTGTGGGTCTATGAATAAGCATTTACATATGTATGTGATTTAATTCAATCTTTGAGGTAGACCCAATTATTATTTCCATTTTAGAGGTGAGGAAACTGAGGCAAAGTGTATTTACATACTTGCCCAAAGTCACATAACTGGTAAGTGGTAAAGCCAGGATTTAAACCTGGATGGTTTGGCTCCAGAGCCTAGGCTTTTAATTTAAGTTGTAATACATTTAACCACTCCTCTTGCTGGATATTTTGATCTTTTAGAGTTTGTAGTATTGTAAATAGTATTTCAATAAACATACTTGTATATCTGTAGTTTTTCTTAAAAACTATTTTGAGGGTTGAGGCAGTAATAACATGCCCAATGGCTTAAAAAGTTTTCCAGTCAATAGACAGTGACTGTAATGGGGTATGTGGTGGGGACTTGATAATAGGGGGAATATAGCAACCACAATGTTGCTCATGTGAAACCTGTGCATAAGATTGTATATCAATGATACCTTAATTTTAAAAAAAAGTTACCAGTCAAAATATCACCCTCACAAATCAGTTCTCTTCCTTGTAGGCTACCACTATTAAAACTTCCTTGTGTATCTTTCCAGAGTCAGTCTTTGACTCAATAAGAGTATATATAAACCCCCACCTCTTTTTAAAACACAAATAATAGCATATTCTAATACACTGGCTGCCCCTTACAGTTTTCCACCTAACAGTGTATCTTAGTCAATCATTCCGCACCAGAACATATAGATCTGGAGCACAGCAGCTCTTCCTCCCCTTTTCCTTATTTTTAACAAATGCAGAGTATATCATTTTATGATTAGTTAAGTGCTATACAATTTAGGTAGTAGATTACTTGAAGGTTTTAATATAAGACTTTGAAATATTGCCAACAATTGCTAAAGAGTGGTTTGAGGGGAAGGAGGTGAAATTTCAGACAGGAGGGACAAAGGAGAAAGGGCTGTGTTTGATCAGTCATGTGGACTACTAGAAAGGGTATTTATTTGAATGTCTCCAAAGTTGATCTGATTCATATATTGCCTCAGTGTTTCTCTTCTGTGCCAGACATATGGATGGATGTGATGTTTTAGAAATGGTTTTTGTTTTTTTTTTATGTTGTTATAGTAAATCTTAAATATATAGAAGTGATGATTTTTTCTTTACTTTTTAAAAATTGTCTAAAATACACATAGCATAAAATGAACTATCTTAACCATTTTTAAATTTATAGTTCACTGGTATTAATGCCTTCATAATGTTGCAGAACCATCATCATCATCATTCATATCCATAGCTCTTTTCACCTTGTGAAACTGAAGCTCTCTATCCATTGAAAAATAACTCCCTACTCTTCTTTTCCCTAGCCATTAGCAACCACCATTCCATTTTCTGTCTCCATGATTTTGATAATTCTAAGTACCTCATATGAGTGGAATCATATAGCATTTATCTTTTTGTGACTGGCTTATTTCACTTAGCATAATGTCCTCAAGTTCATCCATGTTATAGCATATGTCAGAACTTGCTTCCTTTTTAAGGCTGAATAATATTCCATCACATGTACAGTTGACCCTTGCACAACTCAGAGGTTATGGGTGCCAGTCCCTGCACAGTCAAAAATCCACATATAACTTTTGACTCCCTTACCAATAACATAAAACTAAGTTGATTAACACATATTATCTATGTTAATACATATACTGTATTCTTAAAATAAAGTAAGCTAAATAAATGCAAATGTTTCTTCATATTGTTGCAAATCCCAAAAATCTTCTCTAGTATATTTATTGGAAAAATAAAAAGCCGTGTGTAAGTGGACCCAGGGAGTTTAAAACTGTGTTGTTCAAGGGTCAACTGTATATCACCCTGTTTTGCTTATCCATTCATTTATTGATGGACACTTTGGTTGCTTCCACATTTAAACTATTGTGAATAATGTGCTATGAACAGGGGTGTGCAAATCTCTTTGAGATTCTGCTTACAACTCTTCAAGATATATATACAGAAGTGGAATTACTGGATCATGTAGTAATTCTATATTTAATTTTCTGAAGAATCAGTATATTTTTCATAGTGGCTGTATCATTTTATATTCCCACCAACAATGTACAAGGTTTCCAGATTTTCAAATCTTTGCCAATGCTTGTTAATTTCTGTTTTTTGATATTAGCCATCCTAATGATTGTGAAGTGATATCTCATTGTAGTTTCGGTTTATATTTCCCTAGTGATCAGTGATGTTGAGCATCTTTTTATGTACTTAATGGTCACTTTTATATCTTCATTGGAGAAATGTCTGTCAAGTCCTTTCCCAGTTTTTGAATTGGGTTTTTGTTTTATTGTTGAGAATTTGGAGTTCTCTGCATATTCTGGCATTAATCCCTTATCAGAAATTTGATTTGTAAATATTTTCTCCCATACTGTGTTTACCTTTTTATTCTGTTGATGTTGTCTTTTTATTTTTTGATGTTGTCTTTTGATGCAGAAAACTTTTTCATTTTCATGAAGTCTAATTTGTCTATTTTTTCTGTTGTTGCCTGTGTCTTAGGTGTCCTATCCAGGAAATCATTGTCAAATCCAATGTTGTGCAGCTTGTTTTCCGCTTTCTTCTAAGGATTTTATAGTTTTAGGTCTTTTACATTTAGGTTTTGATCCCTTTTGAGGTGACTTTTTTTTTTGTATAGTGTTAGGAAAGGGTAAAACTTCATTCTTTTGCAGGTGGATGTCCAGTTTTCCCAGCACCATTGGTTGAAAAGACTCTTTTATCCATTTAATGGTCTTGGTACCCTTGTCAAAAAAACATTTGACCATATATGTAAGGGTGTATTTCTGGGTTCACTATTCTAGTCATTGGTCTTCATGTCTGTCTTTATTTTAGTACCACATTGTTTTTTATTACTGTGACTTTAGTAGTAAGTTTTGAAATTAGGAAGTATGAGTCCTCCAGTTTCATTCTTCCTTTTCAAAGTTGTTGCACCTATTTGGGGTCTGTTCAGATTCCATATGAATTTTAGGATGGGGTTTTCTATTTCTGCGAAAATATCATTGGGATTTTGGTAGCTATTGCATTGAATCTAAGATCATTTTTCAGTAATATTGATTTCTTAACCATATTAAGTCCTCTGATCCAATGAGAATAATAGCATATCATTTTGGTTTTTCTGAAGATTCAAGTTAATATTCATGGCAGGAACCAAGCCAGCCAGTGAAGTTAGTCCATCACTACCACCCTTCTAAGTTTGATCTTATGATTGAATAAAGTATTATTGACCCATGTTTAAATTATTAACCAGGTGATATGGTTTATTCTTTTTCATTGTAGATATCCCCGAGGAGGAAGCCAGATATTGGACCTACAAATTGGAGCAAATCAATGCCTTGAGAGCTGACAATGAGGTACGAACTGTCTTATTTGCAGTATAGAGAGATGGAAAAAATCTCTTTATAGGATACTTCATAGTTCGCTAAGGGAGGGACCCAGGAGCATGTTGAAGAATGAAAGAATTTAAACTTCATTAAAGAAAAAAGGCAGCTGAAAGATTGACTGATACTTCATGAGAAGGATCTATTTCCCTCTTCTCCTATTCTTCCTTTTGTCCCCCAGAAGTGGCTGAATTGGCAATAGTCTGGCTCTAGACTTTTGAGGAGGGAGCTTATACCAAGGAAACTGTCATTTTGTTACAGATGAGCAGAAGGCATTTTTTCTACTCATTCCCAGATTCTTGGATATATTCCTTATTCATATGCTCTTTTTAGGAGTGTTTAGACATTACATTGCTTGGTTCTGCTGTCCTAGCTTATCTCTGGAGATGAGTCTGGTGCACAGAAAAGAACAAACCAACTCAATCTGGGCCATCAGTAATGTAGAATGTTTTTGTGATTGCTGATGGAGGGAAAAGATAAGTGTTTATACTTCTGGACATGTTGGGCTATTAGAATATTGGTCTGATTATAAGAGATAATTTGGAGTGCCAGGGGATATTTTAGAGGAAATTTCTGGCAAGCAACTTCATGAAAGAGTCAGGGTTGGATGGGCTGGGAAGTTGTAGGCATAGAGTTTGGACTCATTGACATATTGGTAGCATTTGAAGTCATAGGAAAAGAAGAGCTCACTTAGGTAGAGTATGTAGAAGTATTGAAGAAGAACGGGGACAAAACCTTGGGAAACATCAAAGATAGAATATGGAGAAACAAGGGACTGAGGAAGAATTGCCTGAAAAAGTGAGTAAGAGAACCAGAAAAATGCTTATGGAACAACGAAAAAAGAGTTTTAAGGTAGAAATTCTCAATAGTGTCATCATTACTATGAGCAAAGATGGTGAGTAATGAAATGGAACCGTTGGATTTGGCAGTTAATGACCTCTATCCATAATTAGTGCACGAAGTCAAAATGAAGTGGTTTGATGAGTGTACTCGTTTTCTAGAGCTGCTGTGACAAATTGCCACAAGTTGCATGGCTACAACAACAGAAATTTATTCTCTCTCTGTTATGGAGGCTGGAATTCTGAAATGAAGGTTTTGACAGGGTCATGTGCTTCTGGAGGCTCTGAGGAAGAAACTGTTTCATGCCTCTCTCCTCTCAATGTGATTCCCAGCAGTCCTTGCTGTTCGTTGGCTTGTAGATACATCATTCAAGTCTGCCTCTGTTTTCACATGCCTCCCTGTGTGTGTCTGTCTGTCTTCACAATATCTTTGTGTCCAAATTTACATTTGGCTTGTGAGGACACCAGTCTTTGAATAACTTGATTACATCTACAGAGAGACCACATTTACAAATAAGGTCACACTGATAGGTACCAGGGATTAGAACTCGAACATCTTTTATAGGAACATAATTCAACCCACAGTGAGTTAAATCAAAGATGAAGAAATGGAATTTGGGGCAAGTGCAGACTACTCTTTTTGGGGGTTTCCCTTACCTTATCTGAATGCTTAATAGGCTTTCTGTTACTAAACTACATAAACTCTTCTCATACCCAAGCCAACACCCCAAATTTTCTTTTTTGTTGAAAGCTCCAGTCTTTCTTCTCCCCTTGTTAAGTGCCAATATCCACTTAACCCTTGTATCCACTTTATCCTTCATGTTTTTGTTTTCGTACAGCCTGTCTGTGGAGTGGTATACCACCTTCTAAACTTCCGCCTTCTTTGTTTTCTTAGTAAAGAAACACATTGTACTTTGGATTTTACAGGCTTTAAGTGTGTTACTAGGTAGAGTCAGGTGATGAAAGTAAAATAATAAAAAACCACTTGTTTTTTATACAAATATTGAAGAATTTTAAAAAGTTCTGATTATGGTTCTTGGTCTGTGGTTCTCAACTCTCTGAGATTATTGCCATTTGTTTATATTGTAGGATTCACTAAGTTTACTTCTTTCATCCCTTCTTACACCACCCTGTTTTTTTTTTAACTTTTTGAAATAGAGTTCACATACCATACAGTTCACATATTTAAAGTGTACAATTTAGTGACTTTTAGTATATACACAGAGTTGTACATCCATCACCACAATTTTAGAATGCTTTCATTACCCCATAAAGAAATCTTGTGTCCTTACCAATCATACTCCAGTCCCCTCATTTTCCTCAGTCCTAGGCAACCACTAATCTGCTTTCTGTCTCTATACATTGGCTTATTCTGGACATTTCCTGTAAATGGAATTATCCAATATGTGGCCCTTTCTGATTGTCTTTTTCTCACTTAGCATAATCTTTTCAAAATTTCTTCTGTGTATAGCATGTATCAGTACTTCATTCTTTTTTTTCTATCCTACTTCAGCTCCACTTTTTTTTTGGTATCATTAATCTACAATTACATGAGGAACATTATGTTTACTAGACTCTCCCCCACATACCCCATTACAGTCACTGTCTATCAGCGTAGTAAGATGCTGTAGAATCACTACTTGTCTTCTCTGTGTTGCACAGCCCTCCCCATGCCTCCCCACACACATTATACATGCTAATCGTAGTGCCCCCTTTCTTTTTCCCCCTGCTTATCCCTCCCTTTCCACCCATCCTCCCCAGTCCCTTTCCCTTTGATAACTGTTAGTCTATACTTGGGTTCTGTGATTCTGCTGCTATTTGGTTCCTTCAGTTTTTTCTTTGTTCTTATACTCCACATATGACTGAAATCATTTGGTACTTGTCTTTCTCCACCTAGCTTATTTCACTGAGCATAATACCCTCTAGCTCCATCCATGTTGTTGCAAATGGTAGGATTTGTTTTCTTCTTATGGCTGAATAATATTCCATTGTGTATATGTACCACATCTTCTTTATCCATTCATCTGCTGATGGACACTTAGATGGCTTCCATTTCCTTGGCTATTGTAAATAGTGCTGCAATAAACATAAGGGTGCATCTGTCTTTTTCAAACTGGGCTGCTGCATTCTTAGGGTAAATTCCTAGAAGTGAAATTCCTGGGTCAAATGGCACTTCTATTTTTAGCCTTTTAAGGAACCTCTATACTGCTTTCCACAATGGTTGAACTAGTTTACATTCCCACCAGCAGTGTAGGAGGGTTCCCCTTTCTCCACAACCTCGCCAACATTTGTTGTTTGTCTTTTGGATGATTGTGATCCTTACTGGTGTGAGGTGATATCTCATTGTGGTTTTAATTTGCATGTCTCTAATGACTGGCGATGTGGAACATCTTTTCATATGTCTGTTGGCGATCTGAATTTCTTCTTTGGAGAACTGTCTGTTCAGTTCGTCTGCCCATTTTTTAATTGGATTATTTGCTTTTTGTTTGTTGGGGTGCGTGAGCTCTTTATATATTTTGGATGTCAATCCTTTATTGGATATGTCATTCATGAATGTATTCTCCCATACTGTAGGATGTCTTTTTGTTCTATTGATGGTGTCCTTTGCTGTACAGAAGCTTTTCAGCTTGATATAGTCCCACTTGTTCATTTTTGCTTTTGTTTCCCTTGCCCGGGGAGATATGTTCATGAAGAAGTTGCTCATGTTTATGTCCAAGAGATTTTTGCCTGTGTTTTTTTCTAAGAGTTCTATGGTCTCATGACTTACATTCAGGTCTTTGATCCATTTTGAATTTACTTTTGTGTATGGGGTTAGACAATGATCTAATTACATTCTCTTACATGTAGCTGTCCAGTTTTGCCAACACCAGCTGTTGAAGAGGCTGTCATTTCCCCATTGTATATCCATGGCTCCTTTATTGTATATTAATTAACCATATGTGTTTTGGTTAATATCTGGACTCTCTATTCTGTTCCACTGGTCTGTGGTTCTATTCTTGTGCCAGTACCAAATTGTCTAGATTACTGTGGCTTTGTAGTTGTGCTTGAAGTTGGGAAGTGAGGTGCCCCCTGCTTTATTCTTCCTTCTCAGGATTGCTTTGGCTATTCAGGGCATTTTGTGGTTCCATATGAATTTTAAAACTATTTGTTCCAGTTTGTTGAAGAATGTTGTTGGTATTTTGATAGGCATTGCATTGAATCTGTAGATTGCTTTAGGCAGGATGGCCATTTTGGCAATATTAATGCTTCTTAGCCAAGATCATGGGATGAGTTTCCATTTTTTAGTGTCCTCTTTGATTTCTCTTAAGAGTGCCTTGTAGTTTTCAGGGTATAGGTCTTTCACTTCCTTGGTTAGGTTTATTCCTAGATATTTTATTATTCTTTTTGATGCAATTGTGAATGGAATTGTTTTCCTGATTTCTCTTTCTGTTAGTTCATCGTTACTTTATAGGAAAGCAACAGATTTCTGTGTATTAATTTTGTATCCTGCAACTTCGCTGAATTCAGATATTAGTTCTAATAGTTTTGGAGTGAATTCTTTAGGTTTTTTTATGTATCATCATGTCATCTACAAATAGTGACAGTTTGAGTTCTTCTTTACCAATCTAGGTGCCTTTTATTTCTTTGTGTTGTCTGATTGCTGTGGCTAGGACTTCCAGTACTATGTTGACTAAAGGTGGGGAGAGTGGGGATCCTTGTCTTATTCCCAATCTCAGAGGAAAAGCTTTCAGCTTCTCACTCTGAAGTATGATGTTGGCTGTGGGTTTGTCATATATGGCTTTTATTATGTTGATGTACTTGCCCTCTACACCCATTTTGTTGAGAGTTTTTATCATGAGTGGATGTTGAATTTTGTCAACTGCTTTTTCAGCATCTATGGAGATGATCATGTGGTTTTTGTCCTTCTTTTTGTTGATGTGATGGATAATGTTGATGGATTTTCGAATGTTGTACCATCCTTGCATCCCTGGGATGAATCCCATTTGGTCATGGTGTATGATCCTCTTGATGTATTTTTGGGTTCAGTTTGCTATTATTTTGTTGAGTATTTTTGCATCTGTGTTCATAAGGGATATGGTCTGTATTTTATTTTTTTGTGGTGTATTTGCCTGGTTTTGGTATTAGAGTCCTTTTCCTTTAAATTGAAAGTTATGTGTAGTAGTTTTGAAGGTTAGATTGAGATTGAAATTGAAGTTCTTTTGTTTTTTTATTTGTTTTGGTAGGTGCATGGTGTCTTATCTTTTAATGATGTTAAAATTCAACAGTGGATTCAACTTGTATCAGCCATATTTCATCCATTATAAAGTATTCCCACCAGCCTTTCACCTAATGGTTTTAGCAGTAAATAATAAAGTTATGTTATTAGAGCTTGCAGAATTATGATTTTCTAACTATACCACCCTTTCAACATTTATTTGCTGTGATTTGTCTATAAAAAAGAACTTCCTCTTAGAGTTTTCTGGTTTGCTTATAATAAAGTCTGCACAAGAAAAAGATTGTTTATCAGTTTCCAAAATAATGAGCCATTGCTTTAACAATTTCTCAAGGCTATAAGAGCTTTGTTTTTTTTTAAGGGTGGATCATTATGAATTTATAGATTTTGATATATTTGGTGTGTTTCAATCCATTGCAGTCATTATTATTGTGGTAGTGAAATCATCTTATCTTTGGTTTGTGGAAGCCTGAAGTTGGTTTCTGTGTCCTTTTTTCTTCTTTCTATTTTTATCATGAAAAAATTTTAAGCAGACATAAAATTAGAGGAAACAGGATGATGAAACCTTGTATACTTATCTCCAAAGATTCAATGATTAACAAGATTTTGTCATACTTAGTGCAAAATCATTTTAGAAACACTCTTTGTAGAGTCTTTTATTATTCTTTGGTGTTTAATAGGTCCCATACATAGCAGTCTCTTCGGTCCAGAAGCACTGAGTCAAGAGTAACCTGGGGATATACCACTTTACAGAGTTGGATTGTACTATATATCCTCCCCAGTCCCTTTCCCTTTTGTAACTATTAGTTCATTCTTGGGTTCTGTGATTCTGCTGCTGTTTTGTTCCTTCATTTCCTTCGTTCTTATACTCCACATATGAGTGAAATCATTTGGTACTTGTCTTTCTCTGCCTGGCTTATTTCACTGAGCATAATACCCTCTAGCTCCATCCATGTTGTTACAAATTGTACCATATATTTTTAAAAATTTTTTATTAAGGTATTATTGATATACACTCTTATCTTATGCAGGTTTCACATGAAAAAAAACAATCTGGTTACTACATTTACCCATATTATCAAGTCTTCACCCATACCCCAATGCAGTCACTGTCCATCTGTGTAGTAAGATGCCACAGATTCACTATTTGCCTTCTCTGTGCTACACTGTTTTCCCTGTGATCCCCCACACCATATATAGTTCCCTTCATCTATTAATGGACATTTCCGTTGCTTCCATATCTTGGATATTTGTAAATATGCTGTTTTTTTATTAACTAAAAAATAAAACAAAAACTTATAGTTTTTTCAAATTTCTTTAAGTTTTTACCTCATGCCTTTTTTCTGTTCAAGATCCCACCCAGAACACTGTATTACATCCAGTTGTCACATCTCCTTAGTCTTGGCTGTGACATTTTGTCAGACTTCCCTTGTTTTTGGTGTTCACTTATTTAAAAAAATTCATTGTGTAAGACATCCAGTGTAATTTTTAATAGAGTGGAAGTGGGAACCTTGTCTTTTTCCTAACTATAAGGGGAATGCTTCGTAAGTCTTAAAGTATGATGTTTGTAGTAGGTTTTGATAGATACTTTATCAGATTAAAGGAATTTTATTTTCTAGAAATTTGTCATGAAAAAGTATGGGATTTTGTCCAGGCTTTTCTGCATCTATTAGATCACATAGTTTTTCTCCTTTAATCTACTTATTACGATGAATTATATGAATATTTTTTCAGATACTGAACTATCCTTACATTTAAAGCCCACTTAGTCATGGTATATGGACATTCATATATCAACATCTATACATATGTGCGCACACACACACACATATATATATGTATATATTTGCATATAAATGTAATGTTTATGATGGATTTGGCTTGGTAAGCTGTTTAGGATTTTTGCATCTATGTTCATAAATGAAGCCTGTAATTTCCTTTCCTTGTGTTATTTTTGTGCTGTCTTTCATAGATAGAGATTTTTCCTTAGCTGTCTTAATATTATTAGCTAGGCTCTAGTGGGTCTTCAGCTTTCTTCTTTGGGCTGGAAGAGATTCATTAAATACCTTCTAAAAATACCTACTCTCATCCCATGCTTGAAGTTTTAGGATTTCCTCACTGTTATGCCTATGTATTGCCTTAAAAAAGTCATTGATTATAATGGTTATTATTTATTTTAATTGATTATTTTTTAAGTGAAATATAGTTGATATTCAGTATTATATTGGCTTCAGTTTTACAGCATAGTGATTCAATATTATATACATTATGAAATGTTCCCCATGGTAAGGGTGGTTACCCCTGTTACTATACTAAGATATAATGGTTATTATTTATAACCAAGGCCCTTTGTCATTTTGGAGTGCATTACTTAACCTTCAAGAACTTCTGAATATTTTTATGATTGGCAGTTTTATTCATATTATCATGTTGGTTAAATTATGCTTGATTTCTGATTATTCCCGATTGTAAGTAGTAACAGCAGTATATATCTGATATTTCTATCATAGTTTTATTGTTTGTAAAGTACTTTACACATAAAAGTGTATTTATGTACAAAAAGTGTTTTGTATTTTGGATCTAACCACTTGAAGTGCCCTTTACAATTACACTCCTTTGTGAGCTACCATCAAATTTTGTCTGGATTATTGCAATAATTTATCTAATTTCCTTCTTGTTCCCTACAGTTCACCTTACACAACAGCCAGAGTGATTTTTAAGGTGTGGTCACGTCATATTCCTTGTATTTAAAACTCTGTTGACTTGCCAGTACACTAGCATAAAATCCAAGCTCATTATCATGATTTACCAACTTTATTCCCTTAGTGCCTACAAAAAGGCCTTGTACATAATATGTTCTCAAGAAATATCTGTTGAATGAATGACTCACTCATTGACAGTATTAGAGAAGTTCTGTGTTGCCCAGCATCTCACAGCTTATTACTAAATGACAGAGTTAGGAAGAGAATGCCAGATCTCATATTTGCAAGTTGCTGGACCAAGTTATGTCTTTGCAATCCTCCAGTAGACTCTCAACCAAAACTATGCTGTTATCCAGATTGTGTAGCTACATTAACTTGTTTATGCTTTTCTCTTTTTTTTAACCTTTCCTAACTGTGCCCATCCTTAAGACTTTCACCTAATTCTCCCTTTTTTAGAGTTTTTTTTTTTTTTATGACTTCAGTATTCTGCACTTATTTTCTGGTGGTGAGGATGGTGGGTTGGTTTGGAAAGGCTAGAATATAAATGGGAAAGGGGGACTGTAGTAGGTACCAGATGTTGCATTATATACTTAAATAAGTAATTTAACATACTTCCCACATGACCTTGTGAGGGAAGAAGCACTATTACTTTTTTTTACAGATGAGAAAATTCAGGTCTTTCACCCAATGGAGGAATCTATACATTATCCTTAGAAAAAATCAGAGGACTGAGTTTTCTGAGTCCTTGAAGGCTCCTCTAAGGCTAAAGCATGTACAGCACCTGGCAGAGCTGGTGCATACCCAGGTGCTTTTGGTCAGAACAGCCTCGGCTGTCCTATTTTAGCCTGTTGTGTTGGGCCAGTACCCTATCTGATAGTTTGGCCTGTATGTCAGGGTCATACAGGGAACTTAGAGGCAGGATGATGTGTTTCTGTTAAATAAAGATTTGACTCTAGTCAGCTGCTATGCCTTCTATATAATTTTTTTCCTCTACTTGGGCCTCTTATTATATATATATATTTTTTTCTCCTTTCTGCCTCTAGTATTCTATTCAAGAAGAAAGCCAGAGGAAGCCGTTGCCCACTGCTGCCACCCAGTGTTGTAAGTAAGAAACTCGTCTCTGAATCTGTTACAGCTTTTTGTCAGTTCTGTAAAGTGACTTATTTGGAATTGGGAAGGGTGCAGATTTGGTTTGTATAAACAGAAGGTATTCCAGAAGTACACCTCATTAGCTTTAAGAAGAGGTCTTTTGCAGTGTAGCATAGAGAAGACAAGTAGTGACTCTGGCATCTTACTGCACTGATGGACAATGACTTCAATGGGGTGGGGGGACTTGATAATATATAGGTGAATGTAGTAACCACAATGTTTTTCATGTGAAACCTTCATAAGAGTGTATATCAATGACACTTTAATAAAAAAAGAAAGAAGAGGTCTTTTGAGTTTGTATAGACAGGACAGTGGTGCTCATCTTTTCTCTCCTCCTGCAGCTTTTATCCCTGGAGAAATGATTTTTCCCATTCTATCCCTATTTACCTGTTATTTTTTTTTAACCTTCAGTTTAAATGTCACCACTTATGGGAAATCTTCCTGTTATTTCCTCTGTCATCCAAGTTTAGCTTAGGTGTCTCTTCTGTTTCTATAGTATCCTGTGGAAAAATTATATCCACATATAGTTTTTCATACATTATAATCTGTATTTCTTTGACAAGAACACAGTTTTTAAAGGTATAGACATTCTTCCATTTTGTATTCCTAGCAGCTGGCTCAACACCTGATATGTATTATAGTAAGCCTCAATAAAGTTTGATAACTGACTGAGAGAATTTGTCATTTCTCCTGAGATTAATTTACCCAAATAGATTCCTTGAAATGAACCATGCATTATTGGTATATTGCTACCTTCTTAGTTTGTCTCAAAATAGCTTGAGGAAGAACACTAAAGGACTGATTTGGAGTCTATTCTCTTTCACTTTTTCAATCTATTGGAGGGTGAGTATGTGTGTGTATGCTGTGCTTTTCTGTTGCTATAGGTTTTGGAGTTAAACACCTAACTTTAATGAATTGTAAGTAGAAAGTGGTGGTGATGGTGGTAGTAGTTATTGTGGTAATATTAGTAATAATAAGAACCATAACAACTAACGCATTTTGATGTCTTAGAGGATGCCAGATGCAGCTCTAAGAGCTAAAATGTACTAAATTAATCTTCACCACAACTCTTAAGACAGAATTTTTTGTTAGTTTTTTTAAAATTAAGGTATTATTGACATACACTCTACTGAACGTTTCACATGAAAAACAATGTGGTTATTACATTCACGCATATTATTGAGTCCTCTCCCATACTCCATTGCAGTGACTGTCCATCAATGTGGGAAGATGCCACAGAGTCCCTATTTGCCTTCTCTGTGCTACACTGTCTTCCCCATGATCTCCCCCACACTGTGTGTGCCAATCGTAATACCCCTCAATCCCCTTCTCCTTCCCTCCCCACCCACCTTCCCTCACCCCTCCCCTTTGGTAACCGCTAGTCCCTCTGAAGTCTGTGAGGCTGCTGCTGATTTGTTCCTGCAGTTTTGCTTTGTTGTTATACTCCACAAATGAGGAAATCATTTGGCACTTGTCTTTCTCCATCTGGCTTATTTCACTGAGCATAATGTCCTCCAGCTCTATCTATGTTGTTGCAATTGGTAGGATTTGTTTGTTTCTTATGGCTGAATAGTATTCCATTGTGTTTATGTACCATATCTTTATCCATTCATTTACTGATGGACATAAAGACATAGATTTTATGGTTGTCCCCATTTTTCAGGTGAGAAAACTGAAGCTTAAAGAGACTGAGTAATTTGCCACAAATCATTTAGGTAGTAAGTGGTGAAGTAAATATTCAAACACAGACAACCTGACTGTATAACCCATGTTACACTACTTCCTTCATAATGTTTCTGAAAAGGAAAACCTCCTTTCATGGTTTGTAAATCCTTTGGTTGCCTTCTATTCTAAAGGCTACTTTCATGATAACAGTAAGACCAGTGGCAGAAGTCAAAATGTTTTCTTATTTAAAGAAAACCTGGTATTTTTCATGTATTTATTACATGAAATTATTATTTCTTTATTAATTATAATCATTTTAATTAATATTTTTATTTATTGTTATGCCATTTAGAACTTAGTATTTATTAAACATTTAGGTTCATAAGATCAGAAGAATCCAAATTGAAGATCAGATTGTGAATTAAAATCTATAGGTCCTTCCTGAAACTCATAGTAATGAGTTAATTTTGACCTTTTAATTCTTTAAACTAGGACTGCTAATGAGTAGTGAAATGTAACGATTGAAATTTCACTTCCCATTTCTTCCTGGGCCCATTTGATGAAAAGTAGTCGAAGTGATTAAAGAGCAAATGCCAAGAGGGCAGGAGGAAATAAAAAGCCATAAATAATCAACAAGTTTATGTTCGTACATTTTTCATTATCTTTACTGACTAATTTTTCTCTGAATACTCTGTTCCTGTCTTTTGAGTACTCACTCCCTCGTGTACTTTTTTTTAAGTTTATTTTTATTTTGGTATCATTAATCTACAATTACATGAGCAACATTATGGTTACTAGACTCCCCCCATCATCAAGTCCCCCCCACATACCCCATTAGAGTCATTGTCCATCAGCGTAGTAAGATGCTATAGAATCACTACTTGTCTTGTCTGTGTTGTACAGCCCTCCTCGTGCCCCCCCCTACATTATGTCTGCTAATTGTAATGCCCCATTTTCCGCCTTGTCCCTCCCGTCACACCCATCCTCCCCAGACCCTTTCCCTTTGGTAACTGTTAGGCCATTCTTGGGTTCTGTGAGTCTATTGCTGTTTTGTTCCTTCAGTTTTTTTCTTTGTTCTTATACTCCATATATGAGTGAAATCATTTGGTACTTGTCTTTCTCCACCTGGCTTATTTCACTGAACATAATACCGTCTAGCTCCATCCATGTTGTTGCAAATGGTAGGATTTCTTCTTATGGCTGAATGATATTCCATTGTGTATATGTACTGCATCTTCTTTATCCATTCATCTGCTGATGGACACTTAGGTGGCTTCCATTTCTTGGCTATTATAAATAGTGCTGCGATAAACATAGGGGTGCAACTGTCTTTTTGAAACTGGGCTGCTGCTTTCTTTTTTTTTTTTTTATGAGAGGGCATCTCTCATATTTATTGATCAAATGGTTGTTAACAACAATAAAATTCTCTATAGGGGGGTCAATGCTCAATGCACAATCATTAATCCATCTCAAGCCTAATTCTCATCAGTCTCCAATCTTCTGAAGCATAATGAACAAGTTCTTACATGGTGAACGAATTGTTACATAGTGAATAAATTCTTCCATGGTGAACAGTACAAGGGCAATCATCACAGAAACTTTCGGTGTTGATCATGCATTATGAACTATAAACAATCAGGTCAAATATGAATATTCGTTTGATTTTTATACTTGATTTATATGTGGATCCCAGATTTCTCCCTTTATTATTATTATTATTTTTATTTTTAATAAAATGGTGAAGTGGTAAGTAGATGCAAGATAAAGGTAGAAAACATAGTTTAGTGCTGTAAGAGGGCAAATGTAGATGATCAGGTGTGTGCCTATGGACTAAGTATTAATCCAAGCTAGACAAGGGCAGCAAAACATCCACGGATGCAGAAGATTTCTCTCAAA